CAAGTTTCGATACGTCCACTTTGTGCGGAGGTCGAGGGACGAGAGGACACTCTTCTCTAATATTATTAAAATCATAAAAGATTAAAAAAATATAAATTGTATTAAGTACTTGGTCTTTAAAAAAGCTTTTTCCATGTCGAAACTTACCGCGTTATAAAATTCAACATTGTATTCAGTGGCGTAGCTACTCAGGGGCTAGGCGGGGCAGTGCCCCGGGGCCCCCAAGCTAAAGGGGCCCCTCGGCCTCCAAGAACGACGTTCGAAAAATTATGTACTGTCCTAGCTGTATAAAGACTTCGAGTTTTAACTTTTTCGCCCCTGACCGCGGACGCCTTGAAATGAAATCATAAAAATTACTCTCACTTCCAGAAATAAATATAACATTGTTAAAGATAACTGTCTATTTCGTTTTATTGTCTTTTTTATATATAAGAGTGGGACATACGAGCAAACAAATATAACACCAGGGGAATTGCAGGCGCGCTGCCGGCTTTTCGCTCGTTCCTTGAAGCTCCCTAAGTCGTATCGGTCCGACAGTAGTGTACCGCCAAACATTCCGATGATGTGGATTTGTAAAATGCGTTGATGACATTTTGTGGCTGGAATTAATCCGAACAATTCCTCTGAACACTCCCCGTGGTAAATGGGTTAGAAAATGCAAAGGGATGCAACACCTCTTCATCTCGCCTTTCATCTTTGTCGGTCGTCGACGATTTGAGCCGCTCTGCGCTGGATGCGGTTATGTGGAAGGAGCTAACACTAGGGAGTCCCGGCCAAGGGATGAGAACAGTATTCCATGTTAGGCCGAACCTGCCCGAAACAGTGTGCTTGCAGTTTTACAAGGGGCCGGCATAAAATACTGTCCCGCTCTGCTGAGCACGCCAAGCTTTTTAGAGGCCAATTCAGCTGTCCCTTCCAAGTGACCACGAAACTGCACATTATCCGATATGTTGACGCCGAGGATTCCGATACTGGCTGAGGCAACAAGGGGAATGCCTTGAAACTGAGGAGATACGACAAAGGGGTTCTTTTTAGCGGTAAACGCGCAAACTTGTGTCTTCTGAGGATTAAACTGGACTAGATATAGTCGCCCCCAATCCGAGACTTTCTCAGCAAAGACTCGACTTCAGAAACAACTTTGTTCCGGTACTCGGCGACGTTTTTTCGAGGAATATAGGCACAGCTGGTGTATAAAGCATCACCATTGCACGTTACTAGTTTGCAACATATTATTGATAACTCATATAACACTACATATTAGGGTATGATGGGACTGACATACCCTAAGCGGTAAATGTCCCTTAAATTATAATAGAATAAAAAAAAAAAGAAAAAAACATATTATTGATAAACAAAAGAAACAGCGTAGGTGATAGCCCGTAGCCTTGTAGAACACCAGCATAAATAGGATGTACATGGAGCATGCACCTTCTAATACGACTTTGCTGCTCCAGTCTGCAAGAAAACTGCTGATCCAATTGCACAAATTCTCGGGAATCCCGTAGGAGGGGAGCTTCGAAAGAAGCGCTTTGTGACAAACCCGATCGGCCTTCGCCATGTTCAAACTAACGGCCAGGTTCTCCCTCTGTACCTCCGCCAATTTATGAGTCAGGTAAGCAAGCCAGAAGATCACCAGCTGGGCAACGCCGACGGAAAACGTACTGGCAGTCACTTTTCAGTTGGTGATCCTAAAGCTCATGAGCTGGCAGTTCACAATGGTTTTCATTATTTTGGAGAACAAGTTGGATAGGTCGAGGTATAGCGGTCGATTTTCGGTTATTTTTTAGGGATGTGTTATTTCTTAGGAGTCTTTAGGAATCATCCGGCGAGAAGCATACTCTCCCCTATCCTCAAGGGAAGGATGCAAAAAAAGACCGCAACCTGTCTCTATCGGCCGACCTATAGTATCAAACACGGCGGCGATCTTGCAGTACGCAACCGCGATGGGAGTGTGAGTGGCACCATAGTCAGGATCAGACAATGGTCCAATGAGCCAAGAACGGAAGACCTGATACCCGTCCGGATGAGAGGTAAGCACAACGTCCTACAGGGAAGGTGCACGATCCTCTACATCTAGAATCCGCGTAGGTGAAGTAACCATTTATGTCGGCCCATATGCCAAGGCAAAGTCATAAACAGATCTTCCCGCATGATCGGTTAAACCAGAACCAAGGCATTCAGCGTGATGGCCGTTAAAATCACCATATATCACGATATCTGCGGATGGGACCTGTTGTAGCACGAAGTTTGCAGCGATTCGGACGTGTTCAATGAGTTGGTGTGTGTCGGAATTACCTATACCTATTACCACACGTAGATGCGCGGATGGTCGTCGCTGACCTTCAAGACCACTGAGGCGTCGAGAACAGATGTCCTCTCTAACGTATACGCAAACTCCAACTCGTACAAAGGTGTTATAATTTTGCCGCTTAGGAGAGATACAAAATATCAGCCGGAGAGGACACCTGTGTTTCGGTTAGATAGCGCAAGGCCGGCTACGTCGTCCCAACATAGTAGTGGATGGCGTTAAAGTTCGAATGAAGTCCCCTGACGTTGTAGAAATTCACGGATAGCGTGGCAGGGGCCCCTTTGTTTGGTTGCTCCGTTTGCCCCGAGCAGTATTAGTCGCGAGCGGAATTCCCCCCCGATACACGAGGCAGTTATAGCACCCGCGCTAAGGAAGGGTAAGGTAGCTTGGGCGTGGATGCTCAGCCGGGGATTCTCCAATATTCCGGGGATTCTCCGGGGTGCTGGTACCCTCCTGGTTTCTTATTTAATTACACTAACATGTTAAGGGGAAGAGGGGGTTAGGCCTCCGACCACCTGCATTACACAGGCGAAGTAAACTTCTACTTCACGCTGGTCTGTAAGATCGTGGGTTTTCTCGGTTCGAGCCGGTCCACCCACTTTTTCTTACGAGGTCGTTTCTTCATCTAGTCTGGCACGTACGGGTGACAGCAAAAGCTGCCATGTGGATCTTCCACTGTTATGTTGTCTGCCTATATTATAAATTGTAATCTACTTCGCCATTGTTTATACGTTACACATAATACTTAGTAGAAAGTAGTTTTGGTTTATTATGCCCTATAGTGGGCGACAAGAAGCTGATGATGAAGTAGTTTTGCACCTTTAAAGTATTTAGGTTAGTTTAAATAGGGCCCCAATTTCATTTTTGCCCCGGGGCTCTTGGTTACATAGCTACGCTTTCCTAAACTATTTAGTTATCTGTGGCTACGCCACTGATTGTATTATTTACATCTATAATTGAGCCATCGCAGTATCTCTGCGCTAAATTTTAAATATTTACTTCTATTATAAGGTTTTGGAATAAGCGCTCATGATTAAAAGACGGCTGATGACTGACGGATGGGCACCAAACTAATTTGATAGAGTTGTTATTTTTGTGTGTTTTGTAGTGTTCCGTTTTTGTAACGGAATACTAAAATAAAATGGAGGAGAATAAAGAAAAGTTGCAATCTCAGACACAGTATACTGGGCGAACGTGCTTCGTACGTCGTTAAAAAAATAAATAGTATATTTGTCAGGTTTAGCAACAACCTAGATAAAATGGAAAGCGAAACATTATCTAAATACAAATTCATCCAAATTCATGGAGGCGTTTCCAAGAAACTAATGTCAGTTATACAGAATAGCATGAACAAAAACTGCTCACTTAAAGTATTAATATTATACAGCTGTGTGTGTTTTATCACGTAAAAATACATAAAAGTAACAATTACCTACATTGCCGGTAGTGCTGGCCTTGCAGGATGTCATTGGTCAATTAGTAGTATCCGCTTTGATTCACGTTTATATAACTCGGCGGCAACATCTAAGGCTATGCTTACCATACTCATAACTTCGGGCGTATACTTTTGTTGAACCTGTATAAGATCAACGAGACGAAGAAAAATATTAATAAGCAGACTTTAGCGAGTGTCATTTCGACTGCGAGCGATTAGCAAAAGTAAACAAGTAATTCGTATCTCTGTCTTTTTATCGCGCACGCAATGACATCAGAAACAATAATTGTATTAGGTATTTTATATTATTAAAAAAAAAACAGTCAACGTCACTTTAAGCACGTACGACAGACGGTAGATGTTATGAATTTATAAAATCGTGAATATTAAGATAATTTTATTCAATATAATTTATTTAATAAATTTGTTAATTTTTTAATTATTTATTTTAATAGTTTAAATTTATATTAACCACCCTTACGGTGCTTGTACAAAAAGGAGGTCAAAATAATAGGAAAAACTATTTAAAAAAATACTAGCAAAGCTATTAACATTACTGAAATTCCCTTTAACCACAAGATTAAGAATAAAAAATGGCGGATTCAAACCCAAAACCTTTGAGTTCGCGGTCCGCACCTTGCCATTACACTACCGTCTTTTGTGTACTACACTGTATTCTATCTCATTCTCACGCAAGCTAAATTCTATACATGTATACGTTTGTCTCTTTTTAGTGTCGCTTTTTCGTTTCATCCAGTTTCGAATCAAAACGATGAATAGAATAGAATAGAATATTTTTTATTCAATATACTTACATTACATGTGTAATTCTTATTGAAAGTCATTTCTTTACTTTACCACTGGTTCGTAAAAAAACCCTCTGTTCTGGGAAGAACCAGCAAGAAACCCAGCACGATAAAGAACCAGATGATAAAGAAGTTTTCACTTCAGAAATAATTTGTTCGAGCCGTTGTTTTGTAAATTTTAATCTTCAAGCAGAACTTGAATCGCACTCGAAGTGATATATGTTTGATTCGTCGGTAATCTTCGATTCGTCGGTACAGTGTTTTATTGGATTTGTTATCTTTTGTTGTTGATTTTTATTAATAAGACAGTTTCGCGATAAATATGTTTGATTCATTGAACTCAGAAATGTTTTCTAATACAAACCAGATAACATTGAAAATAGTATCATATTTTATTAAATCTTTCACCACTCTGGTATTAAGCATTCACTTTTTAATTTATTAATTACAGATGACTATCTTCTACTACGATTCGCCCACAGCTGCTACTATGATCTGGAGAAGGCAAAGGTGGCGGCCGATCTGTTCTTCACCTTTAGAGCAGATAACTCCTCCTTTATTACAGACAGAGACCCGCTATCACCGCATATGCAAAAGATTTTAAGCATTATGTAAGTTTCATTATATTTTTTTTCCTTTTTAAGAGGCCGGCAAGGCATCTGCAGTTCCCCTGGTGTTGCATTTGTTTGTGGGCGGCGGTCGACACTTTTCATTAGGTACGTAAAAAGCTTTTCTATTAAAAAAAACCGGTGATCAGCTCCGGCTTCGCTTGAGTGGAATCTATAACACCACAGTTATAGAATATTTATATATGGCGTGGCGTTATTTAAGTTTAAGATAATCAAATTAGTTCAATTAATTTAGATTTTTTTTTAAATTCGCAAATTTTCACTTCTGGCATTGCTTTATATCTGTTTGTGATGATTCATTACAATCTGTTTATCTATTCCGGACAGACAGACAGATAGACACACAGACGGACAGACAAACAAAAAGTTCTTGTCCTAAAGGCATGCTTAGAACCCCCTCAGCTCAATAACAGTTACTTCGATATTACATACAGACACTTTAATTTTTAGTTCTGGCGTATTGATATTAAAATGACGAGAAGAAGTGATGTAAAAAGTTATGACATTGATTTTTTTTACTTCGAATATACGAGTATTACATGTCACCGTAATCTGCCGAATGGTGTGTGTATGTAGTATGTAGGCATTTAAGTGGTGTTAACGTTAGTGGTTTTCAAAAACCGGATTTTTATTAGTTTATTCCCTATAAAAACAAATTGCCAATCTTAGGTTCGATTTTTACATAGCCAAATCAATAAAAATATTAATGTGTGTATATTACATCGTAATTGTGAGGGATTACATCGATTAAAAACATAATAAAATAAAATAATCTCAATTGAAAAATATCACAAAGTTACTTCTTGTTCATGGAAAACCGATGTTTTCTGATCGTGGTGTATATTATTAACCAAAAATGTAATAAATGACATCACTTATATATTACCTAGCGCTGTCTTTTTAAAAAAATATTTTCATTTTTCGAGTTATTGAATAAATTGCACATAGCGCTTACTATATTTTTATTCCCTGCTATCAATTCTCGTTCATCTCACGTCACGTGAGACTTCAAGTATATTTTGTTTCATTAATCAGTCGCAATCAAAGACTACAATGTTATATAGGGAATAATATAGGTCGCAAAATTGCCCCGTTGAGATGAGAAGACTTTGTTTTTGTGCACCGCGTCCTCGCCCAAAAAAAGATCAACAAAGCGCAACAGATTAGACTCGCTTGGAAATATTGATTCTTATTACTTAGAGAGTAGCTTTGTCTGCTGTTGCTTGCTAAATTACTAATGTTATTGGCAATTATTTATATTTCGGAAAGAAATAAATATACAAGACGAACAATAAACTTAATTTCACATTGAAAATCAAGCAATGAATTTATAGTAAACCAAGTAAAAACAAACAATGACTGACCAGTGATTCGAACTTGGGATGTCGGATTAGCAATCGCGCTTACGACTATTAGACCAACGAAGCAGTGAAATAATGAAATTAGCGAGATAAAGATGATATTCTTCCTAAAAATAGATTTTAAAAACGATTTGAATTGAAATCTATAGAATCGAAGTCTTGGAGGTCAATTTCATCATCATCATCATCATTACAGCTCTTCACAAGTCCACTGCTGAACATAGGCCTCCCCCAAGGAATGTCACAAAGTACGGTCCTGAGCCACCTGTATTCATCGACTTCCTGCATGTCTCACCAGGTCGTCACTCCATCTAGTCGGGGGGTCGCCCTACACTTCGCCTACCGGTACGAGGCTGCCACTCGAGAACCTTTCTTCCCATCGGTTGTCGGTTCTTCGAGCTATATGGCCAGCCCACTGCCACTTCAGCTTACTAATCCATTGGGCGTTGTCGGTTACTCTGGTTCTACTGCAGATATCCTCATTTTTAAGTTTATCACGCAGAGATACCCCGAGCATAACCCTCTCCATAGCTCACTGAGTGACCTTGAGCTTCCTGGCCAGCAGTGAAGGACCACGTCTCAGATCCGTAAGTCATCACTGGCAACACGCACTGGTTGTACAATTTCGTTTTAAGGTTTTGAGGAATGTCTGACGAGAAGATGTGTCGTAGTTTCCCGAACGCTGCCCAGCCGAGTAGAATCCGTCGATTGACCTCTCGGTCGAAGTTGGACTTACCTAGTCGGACTATTTGTCCCAGATAAACATACTCGTCAACAACTTCGAGCTTAGTGCTCCCAACAACTACCGACATAGGTGTGACATGGACGTTAAACATGATCTTTGTTTTGTCCATGTTAATCTTAAGACCTATCCGTTGGGAGACACTATTGTGGTCATTGAGCATAGTGCTTAGGTCCTCCAGCGATTCTGCCAAAAGGACTATATCGTCGACAAATCCAAGGTGAGTGATGTTCTCGCCATTGATGTTAATTCCGTATCCTTTCCAGTCCAGTAGCTTGAAAACGTCTTCAAATGCAGCGGTGAAGAGTTTCGGGGATATAACGTCACCCTGTCTTACACCTCTCTGCATTTGGATAGGTTTCGTACTCTGATTCTGTACTCGGATAGCCATCGTAGATCTACAGTACAAATAATTCAGCACTTCGATATACCGACACTCAACTTGGCACACTTGACAGACAACTTGTTGAAGCCCTCGGCTGCGCGATACTAAATAGTTTATTCCAATTTTTTAAATACGTCATACTAATGACAATCGTTGGTTACGTCGTTGATAAGCAAAAATATATATTTTAATTTTATTTATTATGATGATCCTAAGCCCGTTTAAAAGTGTAAAAGGAAAATTGGAATCATAATTCGCGTCATGTAGTTATTATCTTAAACGTTAGTCGTAAGCGTGTCACTAAGAAAGTAAACAGTAAGTAAAAACTTGAGAAACGAAAACGTGAATTGAATCACAGGAGCGCGCGTAAGACTAGTTGCTGCCCATAAATCACATTCAATTCGGGATAATAAAAAAAAGTAGAAGCCTTATTAAAGCCTTATTAACTCGTAATTTCAAAAAATGTAATATATTTCATCATCATCATCATCATTACAGCCCTCATAAGTCCACTGCTGAACACAGACCTTCCCTAAGGAATGCCACAAAGCACGGTCCTGAGCCACCTGCATCCATCGACTTCCTGCATGTCTTACCAGGTCCTCACTCCATGTAGGGGGGGGGGGGTCGCCCTATACTTCTTCTACTGGTACGATGCTGATGAAAAAAAATACACCTGTAAACGATATCATATTGTAAAAACTTTTCTCTTATCGATTTTAACATTATTAAATTTGTAACAAGAAATTTATTTATCAGATCAAAAAAATACAGATACAGGTCTAATTAACATCTAAAAACCACGGAGGTTTGACTTGATGCTAATAATTAAGTTTGAGTCAATGCGTTATGATGTACTACGTATTACGTTATAACTTAATGGTTTAAGTCAGCAGTTTAGTTTTAATGTTTTGTTGTGATATTTTATATGTAATATTACCGAAACAGAAAAATTTTAATTTTCGGATCGATCCAGTTTTTAAGATCGGTTAAACAAGTGTTAAACAACTCTACACAACAGTGGTAGAGCCACGCGGCAGCTTCTGCTGTCGCACGAATGGGCCGGCTCGAACCGGGGTGCTACCACGACCTCACAGAATACCAGCGTGAAGTAGAGGTATACCTGTACATTCCGCTTGGTGAGTGCAGGTGGCCGGAGGCCCAATTCCCCCCCCCCCCATCAACATGGTAGCGGAATTGAACAGAAGACTACCCCAGGATTGTACCAGCACCACTGAAGAATCCCTCGCTTAGCATCCACGACCAAACTACTCCACTCCTGGGCGTGGAGTGGGTGCTCAGGCTGCAGAAGTATTCTGGGGGAGGGGGCGAAATTCCGCTCAAGACGAAACCTGCTCGAGGCAAGCGGAGCAAGAAGACAAAGGCAACCCCTACCACGCTTTCCGTGGATTTTTGCAATATCAGGGGATTTCATTCAAACCTTAACGCCGTCCACTACCATCTGGAGATAGCTAAGCCGGCCTTGCTCTTTCTAACAAAAGACACAGGTGTCCTCTCCGGCTGATACTTCGTATCTCTTCTACCCGGGGTATAAATTAGAACACTCGTTTGTGCCCCGGGCTGGAGTTTGCGTGTACGTCAGAGAGGACATCTGTTTTCGACGCCTCGGCAGTCTTGAAAGTAAGGACCTGTCCATCCTATGGCTACGCGTAGACAGCGACGACCATCCCCGCCTCTACGGGTGCCTCTATAGGTCCCATAGCGGTAATGCCGACACAGACCGACTCATCGACCGCGTCCAAATGAGTGCAGACTCCATGCTACAACAGGTCCCATCCGCAGAGATCGTGATTCTTGGCGATTTTAACGCCCACCACGCCGAATGGCTTGGTTCCCGCTTAACCGATCATGCGTGGAGATCTGTTTATAACTTTGCCTTGGCATATGGTCTGACACAACTGGTTACTTCGCCTACGCGGATCCCAGATGTGGAGGATCATGTACCTTCCCTGTTGGACCTTCTGCTGACCTCTCATCCGGACGGATATCAGGTCTCCGTCGATGCCCCTCTGAGATCTTCGGATCATTGTCTGATCCGGAGTATGGTGCCACTCACGCTCCAATCGCAATTGCGATCTGCAGCTTGCCGCCGTGTTTGGCACTATAGGTCAGCCGATTGCCGACAGCCATCTCTGCCATCTCTGCACAGGGCGGACGACTCACTGGCCCATGACGCAAAAGAGAAAGCCGATCTGCTAGGCTCTCTTTTTGCTTCCAACTCGACTCTAGATGACGAGGGGAACACACCGCCGACCATCCCGCGGTGTGAGTGCTCCATGCAGGAAGTGCTGTTTACACAGCGCTCGGTGCTTAAAGCACTCCTCTCCCTGGACGTCAACAAGTCGAGTGGGCCTGATGGAGTCCCACTTATTGTGCTGAAGACGTGTGCTCCGGAGTTGGCACCGGTTTTAACGCGTCTTTTCCGGTAATCCTACTCCATTGGCGTAGTCCCGAACTCATGGAAGACAGCTTT